CGGAAAACTGGTCTTCCACGTTAACGGAATGCTCCTTAAGCAGCAGCAGACCCTTCGAGAGCAGCAGAAACAAAATACCACACATGCACCGACAAGCCGCCAAACCCTCCTCCCGCCCTTCTGGTGCTGCCAAGTGCAGCGCGCCCGCAGCCGTGCTCAAGCTCCTCAAATCATCCCCCTTAACTGCAAACAAGAACATCGAAGCGCCCACACAACGCAAAGCTACCCCAACAAAATGCCCCCCTATCCTGTGATAGGAGCACCCACCACGGTGTGGCCAAGAAGCGACACGGGGAGCGCGAGGATCATCAGTCTCCTCCGTCAGCTAGTTGAACAACCTAGCATCTGCTGGCCGAAGCATCATGACGGTCCATGTACCCCGATGGGCTGGCAGAAAAGGGCGGCAACACTGGTCAACGAAAGCATATAACGTATTCCGTCGGTGCACCGAATGCCGAAAATGGCCAGGAGAAAAAGAGAACCTGTTTTCACAGGGTTTTGAGAGCTCATATTCCTCAACCAGCACCTAACCGCACCATAAAGACTGCGGCCCAAGCCAAACTAAAGCCCGATGCTTCAATATTCAGCCAGACCGTAATATTTAAAGGAGTCGAAGCCATGCACCCAGGTTAAATAAAAGATCCCCACTTCCGCACTCCACAAATTCAGTGGACCGTAAACACACTCTTCGGAATCATCCAGACATCACGACTAAATTGCTACGTTTCCCCCGGAGAAAAATTCGACGAGGATCCTATTTGCCCGACTCCTAATGTTTCAAAAGGGCCGCCCTTCCTGCACATTTCCCTCGTCTTAGACGAAAATCCAGCGGGAAAATGCTGTGCAAAATCATGTAGGCTCATGAACAAACATGGAAAATCGCACTCCCTCTCAGCCGCCAGATCGAAGGCGCAAGCCCCCTGACAGCTGATTTGCCTTGCATGTAGAGAGCCTTCCCTTCCTTTGTGAAAACTTACTGTTCAGAAACTGCTGGATGACGCGTTTCAAAACCACAGCCTGCGCGAAGTGCGGATAGAGAGTCACTTGCCGGGCAGCTGCACATGTGCGGAAATCCTTTAACTTCTCGGGTTCATAGACGCAAAGCACTGCGGGATTTACACCGTCTTGGCTCCGCTGGAATATTGCCGTATCCAGCTTTTGAATGACTTCACTTAGAGTCGCTGAAGAGTAAGCACCCCAAACCCAACTTCAGAAGCTTAAAATAAGGTGCAGTCAGCTCGTGAAAAAGAAACGTTGGCAAGAAGTGATAGTGTCTCTGCAAGAAGAAAGAGCAGCAGGGCGACCCCAGACAATGTGCAAGGAGGGGCAAGAGGTAATCAATTCACTCCAATCAAAGAAATCGTCTGATCTACAAATATGCGGCACGGGGGAGAAGTCCGGGAGCAGCATACATGCGGCAAAAAGCTGCTCCTGCGTGACTCCAAGCTTCGTGAGAACCTCAGCCGGCGCCAAGAGCTGCTCGGGCCGGACAAGAAGAGACACTTCCTCTAGAGACTGTCGGGTAGCCACATCAAACACCACCCATGCGATCCTGCAGAGGCGTATTCACCAACCAGCAACAAGCTTCAAGTTGAACCCGGGCAAGATGCAATTGGTATGCTCTCTGAACTGAGGGTTACTTCCCTCCCTGCACTCCGTTACATTCACCTGCACCCAAATAGGAAGGCCAAACATATATTACGGGATCGCAGACTCACTCAACGACCTCCGTGATATTGCCGGCTCTCAGGAAAGAGAAGTCAATAAAAAAGAGAGTCGTAAACGGCTGGGCCTGATATCCCCCGTCGCTCGAGTTTGTGGCTACAGCTAGATGAGCGGCAGCAGCTGCAGCAGCAGCTGCTGCAGCGACTGCTTCTGCGGTGCTCGCGGAGTCGCTGCTTTGAAGATCCGGAACGCCGTCTTGAGGCCCCGCGGCGGGAACCGCATGGGGCTCTTCCGTAGCCATTCTCCTCTCCACTCAAAGACGAAACCTGCACACAATGAGGCATTCACTTTTCGACAACCCTCCATACCGCAGCAAGAGGACGAACTATATTAGAAGCGCGCATACACTACAACGGAAACGGCAATAAGGAACTGATTTTCCCCGCGCCCCCCAATCCCCCCGCGCCCCCTCCC